CTTCCCTGCACTCTTAACAACAGAAGCCTTTTTTCCCAAAAAGGACAGTGCATAGGATTACCACAAAATATTGGGTTTCTATGGATTATAGAAATAGAAAGAATACTGATACATAGACAAACATCTAGAAACACTTCTCCAAAGGGACGGTTTCCCCAACACTGCTGTCACCTTCCATCTGTGCAGTGTCATTTTGGTTAAGATGGCGGCACCTTGCTTGGTTGCAGCTGCTTCAGTTTCAAAAGTGTTAGGGTTTTGGAGATGAAAGAGCCATCTGGATTGAGTGGCTCTATAAGAATTGTGGCAAGAAAGCAGAATTGTAATGCTAAACTCTCTCTGTCTCTGTCTCTGTCTCTGTCTCTGTCTCTGTCTCTGTCTCTCTCTCTCTGTGTGTGTGTGTGTGTGTGTCTGTGTGTATGCATTTTCTTTTGAGGGGGGCATCAGAATTTAAGTGTGTTCCAATGTCTTCATAATGATGAAAGAAATGTCCTTCTGGGTTCAGCTCCAAGTGGGGAAAAAGACCCTGGAGACATGGAGGCTGCTTGGAAAGGTGGTTTATTGTTGGACAGGGCCACATGGCTTGAGCGCTGAACAGAAAAGGTGATCACATGCTTCAATGTTGGTGGAGAAGAAGAGAAGGGCTGAAGGAGGGGCTTGCTAGGCTTTTTATAATCTGTTCAGTCCCACCTCTCTGTTTCCTGTTCCTGTGTAAGAAATGTATTCTGATTGGTTGTCAGACTCCCATGGGGCCATGCAGGGGCTACTCTCTAGGCTGTGTTTTGAATCCAGATATGGATGAGTTCTCAGATGCCATGCGGTCAGTTGAGTAAAGGGCCAATATTATCATGCTTTCCTGTAGCTGCTGGTGAAGTCTTTATTATGTAAAGTGGACTGGTTTGGCCTTCTTAATGGCCCATTAACAGTGGGGATGGGCAGGAAGCTACAGGCAATTATTATGTCTTTTAAAACATGTTTCTTTCTTTTCATATCCAGAGAAATATTCTGCCTTTTCAATATTTCCTAGGATATTTCATTTTTCTGGGAGAGGGCTGGATGATAAACAAAACGTTTCTATACATTTTGTAGTCCAACCATATTTAGATTTCAAAAACAGCAAGCTCACCACCCAAATTGCTAAATTTGCCATGAGTGTGAAAATGAGATGTGGTATGTGTGTTTGCATGCAGCCTGTTTTAGCCATCAGAGGCCCCGAGGGCTGATCCTTTGATATTTCTGGGCTGGCCCCGAAGCCTGGATTTAAGCACCCTGTGGGCCTTGACACCCCTGAGCATGGGATTGGATTAAAAGACCTTCCAATGTTATTCTGTTAGGTGTTAGGAAATCTTATTGCCATATATAAACTTATTGCCATACATGAGCTACAGGAGCCCCACAGAAATGTTTAATTCATTAAAATAAGGAAAGGGTATTACAAAAAATAACAAACATGCCATACTCTACTGTTACTTCCCAGATACTGATTTTTCTAGGTATAAAAAAGCCCTGGAGATTTTGTTAAAAGCTCTATCTGTGAAAAAAGTGGAGGAGCAAGTTCTTTCCAGCATATCCACCAGATGAGTCTTTCTACACCTCCTTTGGATACAGATGCATTTTAAGTACTCAGTAAAAAAAAACAAAAAAAAAACACCTGACCAGAACTTCTAACTGTGCTTCTTTTACTCCTGACAATTAGCAAAGTAAACTTCTTGGGTTGTTTTATAATAATTTGATTAAACATTACAACTAGAAAAGATAAAAGATAATACAAACTACAAAAAATTAAGGAGTAAAAAGGAAAAATGAGATGGTGCAGGGTAAAAAATATATACTAAAATAAATAAATAAATAAATAAATAAGAATATAGTAAAGAAAAATAAAATATAAAGAATGACTTCATCACTATGAACAATTTTAATAACGTATCTATTAAAATACAACAAATAATCTCTACTTCCCATATCTCATCTCTTATTTACAAATAAATCCTTAAAATCTCATTAGTGAGCAAAAATCCATTATAAGTTACCAAAGATAACAACATATTTACTTTAATATTGATCAAATAAACCAACCTTATATTCCTTCCTTTAGTTTTGAAAATCTTTAATCCCTTCAGATAATGCCTTAGAACTTGTTTTTCCCCTGCATTTTTATTATTTTCTCAAAAACACCTTCCAAATTTTAACAGATCTCTTTATAAAACCAATATAAGAAAAGCATTGAGGTCATTCTTTTGGTTTGCCATTTGAATATACGTTTACTTATGGAGACATCAGCTGGTTTCATTTGAATATTCAGTCTGGCATGTAAAATCTTTTCTTTAAAGCTTCTTTTATCAAGTATTAAAGGAAACTCGTCCAGTGCTATCAAACTTGTTGATCCAAAGGTTCCTAATAATTGAAAAGAAGCAATTTCTGAAAATGATTTTAAAATGAGCCTTGACAAATCTTTTGTCCATAAAAAATATATTACGGTTATGAGCTTGATTGAAATCTTCTACTCCCAGCTGCTCAACTTCCAAGTCAACACAAAAAACTTCAGTTCCTGCAGTTTATTGATGAAAAGCTGTCCTGAGTACAAATGGCCAATTTCACAATTTTTCCTTTTTTTGAAGAGGCTTCACCAGCCAAGAGTTCATCTGACTACTGATCTCTACCACAATACTGTTGCCACAACTCCAAGAATGTCTAGTTCACCATGAATCCTTATCAAAAGCTGGAATAAATGTCTTGGCAGGTCAGTAAAAATGCTGATTTGTGCTAGTCTACTATTTTGCAATTGAACTGCTGCATGGATCCAATGCCAGCCCTAATGACAGAAGGGACATCTGCATGATTGTTTCTCAAACTGTAGATACAGTGTAGTGGTTCACTACGTAAGATCATTTATCTCAATCCAGTAATTAAATGCACCAGAATAGGAAGATTATGAAGTTTTGTGGTTGTAGTCCAAAACATCATGTTGCTTATTCTTGGTGTTGATAATAAAGAACTAAATGGACTTATGTCAGAACTGCCATACCCAGTACCCTACAGAAATATAGAATTTAACACAGTGTGGAATACATTATCATGAAAATATGCTTTTAGAAACAATTTGACAGTTCTTAAGACTGTGAAGATGGGTATTATAACACATTGGTAATGTCTTCTGAGATCTCTAGAATTCAGAAGAATTTCAGAATTCAGGTTCTCAAATCCTTGCATAATTCCTTTCCTCTTCACTCAAGGAGCAGCAAAATGAATTATGTAGCTTATGCAACTATATGTAGATTTTCCTAATGTGCATAATGGTACCCATTGCAGAAGTCACATTTTCTAGATGCAGAATAGGTATAAGTCTGTCCATCTGATGAAGTGTTTATGTATACTCCATACCCCAAAGTCATGGACTCTGGTGTATTTACTGGCCAGATCCTTTAGCACAGGTGGCCTGCGGGCCAGATACATCACACACAGGCCACGCCCACACAGGCTCTGCCAAAGCAAACGATGTTGTAATACGTCGCAATCCGGCCCATGACACAATCGAGTTTGACGCCCATCTTTTAGCATAATTTGTCTTGCTAAGCATGATAGTAATGAAATAAACAAAAGATTTTAAAATTATATTTATGTAGTTACTTATCAAGTACATCTAACTTATATTAAAGTAACCTAAATATCTTTACAATCCCCAAGGCATGTCATGACTTTTGAGCACCCCTAATGTTTGGAAATTGAAAGTTGTAAAAATTGACACATCCTAATTTTAGTATAAGGGAAAAATAGAAGTGTCCTCTTGTTAAATCCCTCAAACTGAACAGAGCTTTCTGGAATTATATGTATTTTCATCATTTAGAACTTCAGGTTTAATCCTAACCATCAGTCCTGGGACAGTATCCACGGAATTTCATTTTAGCATATAATCTAATTGAGAAATCCCAGGCTACAGCCCATCTGTGATTTTATAGGGCTGCTGGCAGTAAATTAGATCCATCCCCCTCTATTGGATGTGTTGTCATTTTTATGACTTTGGGGGTTACATAAAAGGCGAATGGGGAAAACAGGAGCAAGGGAAAGTCAGGCAAGCAGTGAAAGGACTAACCCATGGTGCCAAACTCCTTTCCCAATTTTGAATGTTTAAAAATTCTGGTTAGTTTACAAAAATCACACTCAGTATCAGTCCTTGGCTGGAACACAAATCTTGTTGAAGTGTAGAACAAGAGGCAACTTCAAACAGCTGTTGGCTTGTGTCAGAAACGATAAAGTGAAATAACAGGGTGGGGTTCCTAAGTCACAGGCTGCAGCAGAGAAGAAGAATGTTTAGATTATAGGAAATTGTGTACACACACGCATACAGCACATACTGTTCATGCTTACAGACAGATTATAATAAAAATCAGGTTAGCGGTCTTTGTTCTTGTTCAGATTCCACCCCCCTCCTTATACAAAATGCTTGTGATGACACAGTTCACTTTGGTGAAGGAAGCAATTTGGCACGTAGAACCACACTTGCTGTTGAAGAAAGCTGAGAAGTGGTTGGAGTTTGAATAACTCTGTAGGTATATTGCAATTGTTGGGGGAGGATCTTCAGGCTGAGATATTTATGTAATGTTGGACAATTAATCAGTCTTCTTGTCCATTGCTCACTGAGAATTCAATGAATAAAATAACACTGCCTGTCTTTATTCACAGGGGTGTAGATGTGGCCTACAATGTGGGGCCAATCTGGCATGAGTAAAGTCAATATAGTTTAGCCATGCTGTCATTGTAAAATTAGTTAAACTATCAATAAAACAGATGAAGAAACAAATACACACATACAGTATAATGGTGATGGAAAAGCAATTGGCCTGGATAGTAAAGTGAAATTGTTTAAGATAGAACTTCTTGATGCAATATTCAAAAAAGGATTAACCTTTGGTGAAATTATATAAGACTTTTTTCCCCCCAAGACTGGAAAATAATCCCTAGTGTTATTTCCATTTGTCTTTCTCTTTAACCCCTTATCTTCACAGGTAATTTTGAAAACAGAAGAGGAAGTGATTTCAGTTTGCAAGAAGCCTGCATTGCTTATCTATACAATTCATGGGAACAATAATGCAGCATAAATTATTGCTGCTTTTGTGTTCAGCAATAGCAGGAAGATTTGGTCTTAGTTATAAATTTTTCCCATCTGCTGTTCCAGGATTCTGTCATTTGATCATGCTTACTCTTGTGGTATGCATCATGTTCTCATGACTTTAAAGCTTGTGACATGTGTAGCAACACAATGCAATATCTATTGGTGTAAATAGCAGTAGAATCAGTTCAGGAAATAAGACCATCTCTATCTGATCCTGGGATATTTTAGTAGCTAAATATAAAATCCTGATGGCTCTTCTTCAAATTAGTCTGCACAGGATGTAATCTTTCTAGAAGTTATTCTACACAAGTCAAATGAAAATGAGTTTTGCTCTATGCATTTATACAGTAAAATATATCACTTAGCATGAATTATCACTGGTGAGTAGGTAAATAGGCATATCATAGAGAAGGGTTCAATCTAGCTTTCTCCCTGATTGCTTGTTTGCTAAATGCAGGGTCTCCCTGTGGGGAGTTCAACCCCCCATAAGTGAGCATTCAAGTATGCAACCTCCCACCTGCCACCTGAAGTGGCGCACTGCAATAAAAGTGTTTCTATCTGATTGATGATTGTATAAACTTAATTAGTCTATAGATTCCTGCATACTGTGCAATAGGTATTGGGGAGCTTCAAGGATGAAAGATTTCTCCAAATGCGAAAGTTTGCCATCGTCATGTAAATAGCTTTGGGGCTAACTCAATGTTTGTGGGGCATGTATTAATTCCCCTCTTCTCACTGCTAATTAATTCCACAACCTTGAGCTCAGATCCCTAGAGTAATCCACACATGCTCCATTGTCCTTTCAATTTCTTAAAGGATCTTTGTCCAATTTTGTATGCTTCTCAAATGTCCATCTGGTAAACCTTAATAGTTTGGATAGAAAAAAGTATTTGTGCTGTACCCCAAAACTTACATCTATAGCACCAGGCGGTGATCAGGTGATCATAATTCCTACAGCCAAGACATAGCCTTCCTCCTTCTTGGGTATACTTTAGCCCTTCCTGGCTATATCCTTTGTCATGTGCTATAGGTAATCCTAGACTTACAACTATAATTGCACTTTGGGGGGGGGGTTCTTAGGTTGTACGTTGTGCCAGTGGATTACATGACCATACCCAATTTTATAACCTTTTTGCAGCAGTCATTAAGCAAATGCCACAGCTATTAAGTGAACCCGTTGTACTCAATGGGTGTGTTTTGCCAGAGGCAGGAAACAAACTCTGGTTTATGGCAAGAAACATGTAAATTGCATTCATGTGACTGGGAGGCACTGCAAATGATTATAAATGTGGGCCTATTGCCAAGTGCCCAAAATGTGACCTGCATGTCATCTTTTTTTGCTTCAGAAAATGATCACTATTAACCCTATCATAATAGCATTCTTGTGATGTTCCACTCAAAGGCCAAACTACAGACATTATGGATATTCAGAGTAGTACAGTGAGAGCCCCTGAGGTGTACTAGTTAGCATGACAAAGTGAAACAGCAAAATTCAATTCAAATATCTATGTGAATATTCGTTGTGTAATGTTGTGCCAGTCACATGAGCCTACCATGGCTCATGTTATTCTAAGAATGGAGATGGGACAAATTTGGAAAGGCTGCTCTGTACTTCCTGAAGGAATGGAGCAGTGGTGGGTTTCTGCTGGTTCGCACCGGCTCTGGAGAACCAGATGGTGAAATTTACCGATCCGGTGAGAGGAGGTTAGACCGGTCGACCTGGAAGTAATTTCTGGAATGACTGCCCCGGCCCTGTGTCGCTCGCTCACTCACCCCCACCCGTCCAGAAGCCGCTCCATCGCTCGCTCCCCCTGCCCGTCCGCACTATCCTAGCCCAATTCGGTGTCAAGTCCCATACCTGGGTGTGGAGGTGGTGAACGGAGAAGCATGGAGAGGTCCAGCAGCATAATCCACCAGACAGCAGCGGCAAGCTCAGGAGTTTTCTCCTGGATTCCTCTCTGTCCTGCCTCCTCCGATTTCCCAAAGTTCTTTCCCCAACGTGTGATAGCTTTCTACTGGATTCCTCTCTTGTCCTGCCTTCTCAGATCTCCCAAAGTTCTTTCCCCAATGTGTGATAGCTTTGTCTTGGATTCCCCTGTGTCTTGCCTCCTCCGATCTCCCAAAGTTCTTTCCCCAGAGTGTGATAGCTTTCTACTGGATTCCCCTCTGTCCTGCCTCCTCCGATCTCCCAAAGTTCTTTCCCCAACGTGTGATAGCTTTCTACTGGATTCCCCTCTGTCCTGCCTTCTCAGATCTCCCTAATTTCGGCCCTTAATCCTCCAGTGTCTATTTTTGGGAGGTTTTCCCCTCTCTTCCCTCCCCCCCTTCATAGGAGTTCCAAAAATTTTTGCCACATGGCTTAGGGGGTTGGTGGTCATGTG